GGGCGAGAGAGAGAGAGGGGGGGGTGGGGGTGCGGTGTTGAGGGGGCGTACCTTCCTCCGCCAGCTGCGCGCCGTCGTAGTTGATGCCCTCCTCGCGGGCGCCGCCTGCAAAGCAAAGGAAGGGCTCACGTCACAATGCACAATCAGCGCACACAGGTTTGAAATTGGACTTACAAATAAAGGTAGTCTTACGTCGCACGTTATGCATAGTCTTCAAAATGTATTTAGAGATTTTAAAACATTTATCGCCCCACAAAAATAATCCATTATTCAGAAATACAACTGTGGGAGTTATTTGCTAGTAAGATGAGGTGGATTCAATAAATTTGGAATGGCTGGTGATTGTAAAAATACCAAATAGATTAATTATAATAGTGAAATACCTAAATAATAAGATTCGTGTTAATGTTGGATTTTCATTCCGCATACGTAAGGATCACAAGTGCCTTATAAGAAAACTTTGGTTCCGTCACAATAATACTCATATTATCATATGGTTTCTTTAATAGAATTACACGATTATTATTTACAATATGGGAGAGCGAAGCCTTTTGGGAGACAACACGGCACAAAACCGGCGAAGTTAAGGCAAAACGCAGCAGACAAGAATCGAGGTAATTGTACCAATTTTTTTCCGATTAGGTACTCAACTACACAAATGTATGCGTTGCAATATCAAAGAAATGTGTGATCAAAGATAGTTTTCCCTCCGTAGATATTGTATTATGGTATCCATTGGTTGGGAAAGTAATGATCAGAACCCATTTTCCCTCTCTGTATGGCCCCGGGCAAGGTCCATACAGACAGTATCTGGTCACGCCGCAGACCTACTTCTGGGAACTTGCGAACGGTGTCAATGATGAACAAGAATCGACAATGATGGAGGCCGAAATGTGCGAGGTGCGATAGCTCCCACGGGAGCAGAGCAGGAAAAGGGGAGAAGCTGTGTGCACGCGGGGAAGAGGCTTTAGTTACAATTATTGATTTACTTTTTCGGGTGGGCGGGGCCGCGAGGGAAGAGCTCCTGGAGAAAAAGCGGCCGTCAGAGCCAGGGCCAGATTTATCACGCGGCGGCGGCGCGGGGGCCGGGCGGCGAGGCAGGCCGGACGGTGCCGGGGCGGACGAAAGGGCTGGGGGGGGGGTAGGGCGGCGAGGGGGCGCAGGTGCAAACAGGGGCGCCACCACTCCGCGCGTTCACAGAACGGAACGAACCTCCAACAGCAGCGAAATCACAGCACTCGCTCCCTTCGCCAGTCACGTGGAAAACGGAACCTCACTAGCACGTTCATTCCTCTTCAAGAAAGCAAACCCTCTCTTTCTGCAAGGAGCTGTCAGTCTGACCCTTATTACAACTGACGCCAAAAAACGATGTGCAAAAAACGAGTTGCAAAACAATGTTAGATTTAACTGTTATGTTACAATCGTAATTTATATAATATGCTAGGTTTATTGGGTTATTTTGTGTTGGGATTGTTTATTGGATTATTTTTTATCAAACTGTTTCTGCCCTAAACTATCTTACACGTTACACCCTCATTAGTACATTCCACACGAATTACAGCACGATCTGAATTGTACTTTTCTCATGATTTAACATTTTGCGCATTAGGGTAGTTAAAGAACAGAGAATTTTAGATTTTAACACAGATACTATAAGTTAATTATAAACACATTTCTGCATATTAAGAACCTGCAACTATTGAGCCTAAAGTATCTCATCCGGGTAATTAAAACCACCCGAAAGCGAATGACAGAAAATGATACTGAAACAAAAAACTATTTAATAAAAATCACGTTAGATTCCCATCGCAGATTACCATAGCTTTCCTCTTCAACAAATGAGAAAGAGACACTCAAAAAAATCGGTGTTAGAGGACAAATTCGTCGTAACTCCGACAAGGTCGTAACTCCGACTTCCGCCAATGAAAATGATCCGTACGAGACGATCTTCTAGAAACGTACGGCAAGGAAGGCTCTCTCAATGCAAAGAATCACACTTTTGATCACTTTCACATGCGTGGTCACTTTAGAAGGATTGAAACCGAAATGGAGCCAGCATTTGGATACCATATTAATGGCCACGGTATATTTACGTTTACATAATTTCCGGAATATTCCCTTACTACGATCGCCTCGAAGATTTAAGGTCCGGCGCAGGGCTTGTCGCGCAAACCTCATTTTCGAAGACACCAATTTTTATTTTTTCCCACCGAAAATTCGGTTGGAAAATATGGAAAATCCGGACACGCAAGAATGCAGCACCCCTGCGCGGCGCCTCCGTAATTAAGCCTGGGTAGGGACACTCAGCCTACTCAGAGCTACTGGTTGTCCGGGCTAGCAGTAATTGACGCTACTAACAGTAAACAATGATAAAATCACTACTCCATTACCCACGAGTATCTGGTACTGCCACAACAAAGCTAAATGTCCAACTGGGGCCGCCCAGACCGAAGTGCAGGTGGCTTGGGACCTTTAACCCGCCTCCTCATTGCATTTACCTTGACTCTGTCGACGTGCGTATCGCCGGAACCTACAACAACCTGAAGGGAGATTCATTTTCCCGGTGGACTTCTATATCTGGGTTTGGAAACAAATTCCGGGCGCGGGTCCAACTGGTGGGTTACCAGGCAACCAGGAGTTTAGCATCACTGCACCGACCTTGGCGCTAACGACGTGAGTACCGCTGAAAAACTAGGGTCCGAGATGACGTTTGCACCCTCCGTCCAGGAACCTCAGACATTTCGACGCCCCGCCCTCCTCCTGTGCGAGAGATGAGAACGGCAAGGCAGTCGTGGATAACTCACCTGGGCAGAGGCCGCCCGTGCAGTTGGCCGTGAGCTGGTCGCGGCCCTGGCAGTACTTGCCGCCGCCCGCGGGCGCCGGGCTGCTGCAGGCGCGGCGGCGGTGGTGGCGGCAGTCGGGCCCGCACGGCGACCACGCCGACCACTGCGACCAGCGCCCGTCCACCGCTGCAACAGCGCAAGAAAACCTTACAGGGCCCGCTCGCGTCTTTGGTGACCTACGTTGCCTTTTCGTCCCTTTCGCGCTTGCGAGGGCGGCTACCACAAATCATTCAACACAGCAACTGGACGTCTCTTCTTCAACTACCTCGAATGTTAATTAAGAGGTTTTAAAACTTTGGACAGGACAGTCTTACAAGGACGGTTTCCACAATAATTTAACATATCAATTGGACATAAACATTTGAGATAATTGAAGAAATAATTAGGAGGTCGTAAACCTTCCAGACAGAACAGTCCCTATGTATTCACATACTATCTTCATGTGGGTGCTTTTAGATAACTGCTAATGAACTTAAATCCTAATAGAATGAAATTCAGTTGATTTTCGAAAAAAATCTGAGAATTATATCGATTTACGACAAACCTCATTTAATTAAGAAAAACACCCCAAAAATGAAATGAAAATTGTAGAATAAAAAAGAAGCTGAACCAGAATTAGAACCAATCGTCACCTTTATCTGCTTCCGTTGCCTTTTATTTAGCGTCCTGTGGTACCTGCGTAAGTCTCGAGAGTTTGTAAAACTACAAAAATCAATGTCTAATGAAAGAATATACCACGATTCATCATGTCACTGAATGACGAATGTCTAATCAATGTGGACATACGCTAACAACTATCACAATTATTTTTTAAAGATTTTTAAGAGTAACGTCACTCTTTCTTTAACTACTTGTTTTTAATGGCCTGTGTTACATGAACCACTTCATTATTTCATTTGGTCAGATTGCTGAATGACAACATGCGTTGCGTCCGCGAGGTCGTCGGGTTCGATTTCCGACGGTACCGAATTCTTGACACTAGCTATACAGCTAGGTCAAATACACCTACTAACTGGAAGAGAATTCTAGTGAGCGGCTGCGGTGATCAATTATAGGTGATTTGTTTTCGACCAATACCAGAAGAACGCCGAATTACTACCACAAGAAATGGGCCTCAGGCGGCGCGCGATTTTTCCTTCCTCTCCCTTATCCTACCGCGCGTCCTATCCTTCGGGAAAATCCCCGAAAACACGGATAGGTCGGCGCCGGATCTCACCATCCACAGGAGGAAGATCACCGCCACCACGGCGATAAAAAAAACTGCACTACACGACCTCACGGAATCTTCGAAGTTGACCCACCTAGAATCACTAATCAATAAATGGGCCAAAAGCTCAATGCCCCTCAAAAAACGTAACGAGACTTGTGGCGTAAATCACCCAATAAATTGTAAAAAAAGAAATATATACAGTTTAAATAATACTTTCTATATTTTGTGCCTTTTGTTGTTTGTGTTTTTTTATGCCTAACTACAAGCCGTTAAGCTTTGTACAGTTTAACTACTACTCTGTATTTGGAGGCCGACGCTCTTTAAGAGGCATATAGTGGCTAAAATAAGTAAATATTTTGTGCTCTTTGTTTCGTCTGCGAGTTGGCGAACGGCGCGGCGCGGCGCCCAGCGTTGGCGTCTGCGGAGGCAGCGTGCGGGACGCGGCGGGGGCGGCGGCGGAACCGGAAACGGAAGCCCCCGGGCGAAGACGTATGGGGCGGCGAGCGCAGAGCGCGCGCGGCCCTTCCGCAGAGTCCATCAGCGCCGCCGCATCCTCCGCTTCCGCCCCGCCCCGCCCCTCCAATCCCCGCGTTTGCGGGGGCACGTTCTGCTGGGCGGGTGCGTCCGTGCGAGTGAGGCTGTATCGTCTCCGGACACGTGCGCGAGGCGAGGTTTCCTTGTTTCGCCGCCTCCGCCCCCCCGCCCGGCCCACGCGTAATCACTCGTAAACATTCATTTGCGTCGCCTGGCAACGCGCAGATACCATCTCTAACACGATGTGTAGTCGCGGATTGCAATTGGAAGGGAGATGGTGGGGTGGGAGGAGGGGGAAGGCGCGGGGAACACGACATCGGGCCAGATGCAGGCACGCAGAACCCCGAGGGAGGACGCCATGTGCAATTCACTAAAAGATATCTTCGTCCACAAATGAAAGTGAAATCAGAGTTACTTGTGTACGGCGCAGCCGGAGCATTTTCATAGCCAACACTCGTTTCCTGGGACAAATATCCAAATATCCTCGACTTTTACCGGTTTTGTTAGACATTCTTTTA